CACACACACACACACACACACACACACACACACACACACACTTACTTTAGGACATGCTCTGATGTAAGCAGCCTTCTCGTCGGGGTATTTCTCCAGACGACGAGGTCCTTTGCTGGAAGATTTCTTGAACACCAGCCAACAACGCCGATAGATCTGAAGCACACACACACACACACACACACATACACAATGACATAATTTTATATCATCATAACCTCATATCAACATAATGTACATTTTCCCCCTGGTGGATCATAAAGTCAGTGCAGGACGTGGATACAGAGCGAAGCTTCGTCTCGTGTTCTCTCTGCAGATCTCTGTGCTCAGGGGCGGATCTACTGGGGTGGCATAGGGTGGCATGTTCTCTTGCCACCCTCGTTTTGCATATGACAATATGCATATAAGTATTAACACTTTGAGCCTAGTTATAATTACCATTGAAGTTAATTAAAATAATTAAATTCTAAAACTCAACATAGTGCATTACCTACCTACCCCCCGCAATAAAAATGGTTCAGCCCATTGTGTTGAAACAGCTTTAGTTCTTGTTGTCAGTAGCAACTGACACCATGTTCAACACAGCTGGTTGGTTGTTACAAATCTGTGCAGGAGCTACAGTAACAGTAACAAGTCTAACTAACTGATCCACCTCATGTTGTGCAGCTTTTACACTTGGGCTACACACTTATTTATTTTACAGGCTCCACAATACATAAAATCAAAATTCACATGTTTTAATGTAACTGTAATTATTTGGGCTAAAGCCAGGAGCTGATCCTTAATGAACAAGTGTGGAGCTCCTCACATACGTGACCTCTAAAAGGAAACGTGAGTGAGATTAGCTCTGATATAAACTCTCAGCATCACCCAGACGTGGATCCATAACAATGATTTGGTCATTTTGTGTAATCAAGTTCAGCAGATGCTGTTTTCCAAAGCAGGTAGTTCATTCTGTTCTGAGGAGAGATGATTGCTGATGGACTGAACTTCAACCCAAGCAGCAACATCCAGGGAAAGAATGAAGATGAGCTGCAGTTCCTCTAACGACCAGCAGAGGCAGCAGTGAGTCGGTCCCCATAGACTCCCATGTTAAAACTTTACAGTAGAAATAAACATGTTTGCAGCCTGATACACAAACGGTTTGTTCTCTTCCATAACACCTGCATAGGGAGGATGTTTCTAAATCTCACCTGTTTAAATTGTATTAAGGATTAAAGTTTGCATTATTAGGGGCGTGGCCTCTGTGACTGACAGTTGGATGGTGACACAGGTGGCTGTAGCTGCTAGCTTCACCTGAACTGGACCTGTTACTGTACTAACAGACCGTCCAAGAAGGCGGAGCTCCAGGTTTGGTGCACAGTGAACTTCAATGATTTTAATTGAATGTTATTGAGCTACAATTAGCATCCACCTGTGCCTGAGTGATGCTCA